TAGGCTTTTAGTATTAAATGCTGCAAAACCCTGATACTATATATAAGGCTCAAATCACCTTTGAGATTCTGGTGCCTAGCTCCCATAGAAACCAAGGTGAGTTTGCTATCTCAACACCTACTTGACTTAAGCCAAAGGCTTTAAATGAGATAATTATTCAGTCAAGACTTCAGTGATAAGAATCACCTTCTGTTTTTTCTCTACATTGGATGGAGATAAGGATAAGAGAGGCTGGACAATCACCTAACACCACCAGCTGTGAGGTCTGGTGGGAGGATGGGGCATGAAGACAGAGGCAAAGAGGGGCATTATGGCAACCTTCCCTTAGGCAGGTTTAAGCTGTTGCACACCCACCCTGTCTACATGTCTGTCTCAAGAAGTGCCTGGAATTGAGCCCAGGAAAGCTGCAAAGAGGTGCACAGCAATGCACAGAGACAGAGAAAGATCTGGCAGGTCTGGTCCCCAGCTACCATGAGTACCCAAGCACAGTGACCCCTCAACAAGCTCTTTGCAAGTGCTGAAATGTGCCACATGTGGCTTTTGCTGTGAACCTTTGTGGCATCCCATAAAAGCACAGTACTTTTTTGCACACTGAAAAGTGTGAAAACTAGGAATGTGTTGCCTTTTATTTTTATTTCCTACTTTGGCTTCTGTTCTTCAACCACGCAGCAGCAGCACAACCAAAGACACAGACATGCTCTGTGCGACCAGAAAGATCAACCTTCCTTGTACAGCTGCCACTGTTTGCAATCTGTTTTTTCAATACACCATGTCCTAAACCCACAAAAGGGATGGCAATCAAACTATTAACCCACAGATCAAACTTCAGGAAGGAGGATGAATTCTTGCTAGTAGATGGTCCAATGTCGAGAAGTAAATGAGATGGACAAAGGACTATGAAGTAAGACTCAGTAAAAGAAAATGAGGGAAGAATCATATTAGAAATACTGGAATATACAAAGCAGGATGAGTGACCCATCAGCAGAGCACATTGCATAGCATCTCCACCACAAGCCAAGGTGTAGAAAGCCCTCAGTCAACAGGTCCTCAGAGCTTTTGATTTCAGGGGGGTTGCAAGGGGCTGCACCAGGCAAGGAGTGAACCTGCTACATGCACAGCCCTTCCCCATCAGTGGGAAATCTCAGAGCCAGGGATGAAAAGAGAACATAGCTTAGGTAGAGTCAGATCTCGAAATGGTTTGTTGTGTCAGAAGAAAAGCAGAATAAAATGCTCCAGCCAGCTGCTTTGCATCAGAGACCCAGACAAACACACCACCTTCAATTAGGGCAGAGGGAGTTAAGGGCAAGGAAACAGAGGACAGTTCAAGGCTCAGATTGGGAAATGAGACCCAGTGGAAAGGCATTGAGCATGTCTGGTCCGTGGGGAAGGGAGACACCCTCACTGTCTATGGATAACAAAGCACTGGGATAAACAGGACAGAGTAAATACTGATTCAGAAAAACCACAAGAGGAGGCACACAGGGTGCAAAAGGGACTGTTTGCGTCAAATAACAGGATACACATTGTTGGTATTATCTAGTACTTGAGCACATTGGCAAGGGCCTGTGCAGTTGCTATTCCAGGCATGATTTAACAAGTTATAGGAAAAGGGCTTAGAATAACTAGTAAATTTTTGTTGTGACAGAGAGGTCAGAAAACAGATAAATCAGTGGGGCTCCTCTCTAACTTAATGAACGCTCGGGTACTGCATTAGAGACCTAAGAAATAAAGAGTTCCAAAGCCTACCAGGAACACCATCAAATCCTAGACATACCCATATGGATGTTCACACCAACCTCACAGACACAGCAATGCTCAAGCAGTTTTATCCATTGCCCACGCAGCACCAGACATGGAAACACATGGAAGCATGGCATCCACCCAAACATCATTCCCCCCTGGTCTTCATCTGATGCTGCAAAGCTTTCAACAGATTCAACAAATGCTTTCTAATCAATCCAGGAAGCTCCTGTAATGCTGTGCTGTCCCTCCAATAGATATCAAAGTGGTTGAAGACCCCCACGAAGACCAGGGCTTATGAACACGAGGCTGCTCCTGTTTTCCTATAGAGGGTCTCATGCACTCAGTCTTCCAGTCAGGTGGACTGTAGTAAAATGTCACCTGTCCCTGCCCTCCCTTCAATCCTGACCCATAAGCTCTCAGTTGGCCCCTCATCCATCCTCAGGAACTCCATGAGCTCCAGATGGTCACTGACATAGAGGGTGATGCCACCTTCTCATCTACCCTGCTTGTCCTTCCTAAAGAGCCTGTATCCACCATTCCAATGCTCCAGAGTCATAGCAGCCATCCCACCACGTCTCTGCCACCCTTCTTTCTGGCAGCCACTACACATGTGGGACAACCACCAGGTCAGCATCCTGAAATTAATACTAAATATTCAAAACACACCACACTTCTTGCAAAATGTGCAAGATGGAGTCTGATGACCAACAAGCACACACTAGTCCATCAGGAGAATTGCTGCAGCCAAGCCAGAAACACTCCAGTACATAACACACATTCTCAGAGCTGCTTGGAAATAGCTCCTACACCATGAACAGCTGCTTGGCTCCCTCTTGGGGAAAACACTGAAATGAAGGAACTGGCGGTTTGGGATACTTGAGCACTGTTACCTTAAATGCTCCTGATTTTCAGGAATCCTCCCAGACTCTCTGAAAGAGATGCCAAGCTGGGAAGTCCAAGCACATGAGACAGTCAATTTTGGCTCTGAATGAAGCAATACAATTGGGTTTAGAGACTATTTTAACTACATGTTTTCTTCGATATGAAACATTCTGCAAATGAGTCCGGAGAGAGGAGCACCCTGCACCATTATTTAACTCTGCTTCATTGAGCTGTTATCCCTGCAGTTTCACTGGCAGAAACACCACCAGGTATGAGACACCTTCTCAGTCCATGGAGCAGAGGGTCTCCCTTGGAAGTGTTATGGCTGCAGATGCTAAAAACACAAGTTGGGAAAGCAGTTGATGGGTTTAAGGGGCAACAGCTATTTCCATTTTGTGCATCCATCTGCCTTCCCCCCTGAACACTCTGACTTCACAGGGGTGTTCAATCTCCTCCTCTATGTAAGCCGCTATCCACACCACTTTCCTGGCTCAGCCAGCTAGAGTTTCCCCTCCAGGACACTATTGATGGCCCTGCAAGGGGATGGGGGATTTAACTCTCAGCACCCCTCCCTGCTCACAGCAGAAAACTCCAATACCTGCCTGCAAGGGAACTGTCACTAATATTTCATAGGAGCTGGCAGAGGTGGTGACATCTGATCAGAGAGGGCAAGGAGAAGAGGGGAAGGGCACACGCTTTTCAAGCACAGTAGAGGATTTAATCCTCAATTTAACAGCCAGGGGCTGAAATCTTAGTGCCCTCATTCATGCACACAGACTTTATCCTCTCCCTCTTCATGGGCCACACCTATGTGGCCTGCCAGGTTGTGCCACCAACACCACAGCACTGCAGCAAGGACCTAGTGTGACATCTCTGCCTATGATAGTCCACTGGCATTCTCAGCAGAAAGCTGAAGGCTATCACTTAAAGTCATGTTTAATCTGCAAATAGCTTTGAACTTACATTTGTAGGAGGGTCTGGACTCAGCACCCTTCCACCACTACCACTTCACCCAGCTGTGGCATCACTAGGACCTGGAGCAAGGCCACTGGCCATGGCCCCAGTGATCTGTCATAGGCAAACACCTCACCCTGGGTCCCTCCTCCAGAGCTGCAGTGTTTATAGCCCTGCTTTGGAAGCTTTAATTAACAACCAGTGATACAATATTGAAATAATCTTTTTTCTTTCAGTTGAACTTCTCAGGCATGGAAACTCAAGATATTCCAGAAATAAGTACCAATAGAGAACACATTTTTCCTTAGGCAACATAAGTACATTTTATTAAGTGTGTGATCTTAGATGCTTGAGTCTTTTTTTTTTTTCAAAATAGAGTTTGATGCTATTTTGGTCTCTTCAGCATTTCAGGTCAGTATTGCAAGTACAGGCTAATTACCACCTGAGGTAACTGATCAAGAAGTCATAATTAATATCTCAACATTTCACCACTTCCTGATTTTATTTCTATTTCTTCCCTTATGCAAGCTACTTAATATCAAAGGGTGCTTTGCAAAGTAGGGTGATTAGAGGAGATTTATGTATAATTATAAAAAACATTTCCAAGTTCTATTTCCACATTATTTAACATTCCCAAGGGGCATTTTTTGCAAGAAAAATCTCCATTTCCATTAACACTTCCTTCCCCTTTATGGTATGAATCCTGCATATTCCTGTCTCCATTAACTGCACAGTTATTACCACCAGGACATCCTCATAACCAGTGAGTGGGGCAAGGAAAGGTGGCCAGGGCATAAGCTAGACCCTGGTGTGAATGGCTCCATCCAGAGAGGATGGCCAGGACTCAGGGCTGGGAAGACGGTCAGATGACAGCAGCAACACCAGCAGAGTTCAGTGGTCCTGACCTCCTCCAGCACAAAGCCATGGCCAGGAGAAACTCAACAAGGAACTCTTCCTTGTCCCTCCCTGGGTGGGGCAGGATATGCTGAGCACACTGTCCTGCTACCACTGCACAGAGCCAGGCTGGAGACATCCCCAGCTCAGTGCACAGTGGCAATGCCCTCATTGCTGTTTCAGAGGAGCCATCCCTGGCATGGTGGTACACCCTCCCACATGAGAATAGCTGTGTCAAGCTACTGCTGCTCTCCTGTCTCTGGCCCACCCTGCCAACCCTCCCTGACCAAAACCAGTCATGGCTGCAGGGTTTTCACTGAGCAGAAAACTCAGTGGAGGGCAGCACACAACCACTTCTCTCTGTGCAGACTTTGCACATCCATCTGAGTTACAGCACAGATGGACACTTGCTCTGCACAAGGTTCTTAAGGGAGTGAGTAGTATCCTGGTCACAGACTGCTCCTGTGCATGGTTAACAAAAGATAAGCAGTGCTGGGGAGAAGGAGGAGAAAGGAGATGTGACTCACCTCTCTACGACTTCTTGTCCATTCCAGCAAAGGGTGTCATTCTGAACAGCAGAGCTGTGGTTGCAGATGTACTGTGGCAAGCTGCTGTAAAAACTGCTGTGAGACTTCAGCTTCGCAATGAGTTCCCTGGAGGAAAGAGGGGGAAAATAGTGTTCAGTTAGAGTAGGAAGAGTGAAGGTAATCACACAAACACCACAAGAAAGCAGCTGGGTGCAGACAAACCATGAAGAATCAATCTTATTTCTGACTCAAATAGCATTTTGCATTGTCCCCTGATGTTATTCAGTCAAAGGCTGTATCATGTTTCCTCCTGCTGGTGATGGGGAGGGTTGTTGGGGCAGCAGAACTTCAGCCTAACCATGCAGCAAGCCAAAGCCAGACACACTCTCTGTGCTCTCAGAGTACCTAAGGAAAGGTGCTACTGGCTCAGGCTGTGCATACATGAGGTACATCTGAGCAGTAAGTGATCAGGCTGCCAGCAGTCCCCTCAACTTTGCAGAAGGCAGTGGAAGCTCTTCAGGAAAAGGCAGCCTTGTTGCTTTGTTTGCCTGACATTGGCCATCCAGCATAGTTGCAAAGGCAGGTGGTATTTTTGGTGGCAGACCAGATACTCTCAGCACAGACTGTCCACATGGGTAATGCTGTGTTTCACGCTGCACCAGTGAAAGTACATGACTTCAAGGTGTAGACTGGGTTGGCCATGGGGTCACAGAAGGCATTCGAAGGGGCAGGTTACACTCAGGAAAATGTCTCTGCCCCAGGAAGGCAGGAGGAGCCACAGGAGCAGTGCTTGCACCAAACAGAAGGGTTGTGAATCAGGCTGCACCCCAACCCTGCCTCCTCCAAGGACCTTTGTCCCCAGTTGGTCTTCTTCAGCAGCATCCCAGCGGTGCCAGGACACAGACTGATCCTAGGAACTCTGACAGCTGTCAGAAAGGGACCAGGGACTGCAGGAGTGGGATGTGGCATCCCCCCAGCCCAGGTCTGTCCCACCACAGGCACTCAGCAGCTGTCACCAGGACACACTGGCAGATTTAGTTAGCTAAATGGCAGCAAAAGTGTGATAATATGAATAGCAGGGACTAGAGGCAGCAAGACTTGGCCTCACAGTCTCCTTGCTTCATTTCAGTGCATTTCCCCCTTTGACAAGGGGTTATGTCTTGGCCTCCTCTCCTCCCCTGTCAGGGATGATGAGGAATCAGTGCCTGGAGCTGGGAGGCTCTCAGGGGCATCCCCTGGGTGCCCTGCCAGGTGGAGGCAGCTCGGGCAGGTGGATGTTCAACGGGGGGGCCCAACTCTCTCCATTCCTCTTCGCTTTGGCATTCCGTGGAGATGTCTCTCCAGCCGAAGCCCGCGACAGCCAGCTGGGGGCAGGCGACACAAGGAGAAGCTGCGAAGGAGCCTTGGGCTCTGCGCTGCCTTTTCGCTGCCGAGGAGCATGTTCCTGCCCTGCTGGGACCGACACGACCCTCGCAGCCCGTGGAGGCAGAGGGTCACCCAAGTCCTGCCTCTGCTCACCACAGCGCAGCCTGGCTGGGTATCACAAGCACTGACCCTTCCATCGCTGTCCCTTGCCAACGAGCAAGGGTTCGTCCGATGAGCCAAAGCCACCCAAAGGGTGGGAGTTCAGCCCACAGTCCCCTGCACAGATCAGAGGGGTGTTTCAACATCAACCTCCTGCATAAACCACCTTCTACATCCACCTCCTGCACTGGGCTTACAGCGGGACAGGAGGTCCAACCAACATCACTAGGAAAGCCAAAATGAGGTGAGACCTGGGTCTTCAGTTACACCAAGCCCCAAGCAGGACAAGCCTCACTGCCCATCACACCCAGCTCCTCACACCTTAAGCACTGCCTTGCTCCTCTTCCACAGACCTCAGCAGAGATGGGGAGAGTGGATAGAAGAGAACTTTCCTGGGGAGCAGAGCTCTCTGCCAGGTAGGGAGGGGGAGGGAAGAGAGAGATTTCTCCATATCTGCAGGTATGAGCCAACGTAATTCATCTCAGCAGATTTCATTAGACTTTGCAGTCCTCAAAGGACATCTCTGCCAGAGTCTGGGCTGTGTAACCCTCCGACGTGTTGAGACAACGGAGGAATGCAAGCCCTGGTGCTATATCTCATGGGAACCGCATCAAGAATGTGGCCCTGTTAGTCTTCAAAGAGAAATCCATCCAAATTAGTCTATCTCCAGTTTCAAAAATTGCCAAGCTTGCCTGTTTCTCTTCCACAGGGCTTTTTCTTGCATTCAAGTCAGCATTACATATCCCTGAGTGTGCTTTCAGATCCAGAGGGGAGATGCTCCTCCCTGACACACCAGCATGGGCCCACTGAATTATAGCTTCTACTTAGAAGGGGAAGGAAGCACAGGGTGCAGTGCCAGCAGTGGAGACATCTGCCTCATTTTGAAAATATTCAGTAAAAGGCTGTTAACATTCCTGAACTACCATAAACACTGCACAAAAAATGTGAAATGCATCCCCCTTACCTACACACACAGCGTTAGACACAGCATTTCGGGCTGGAGCAACCATTTCTACCTAGAACTACACCTGTGGGTACTTCTGGCACTATAGCAGTGCCCAAGAAACCCAGACAAGGCATTTGGTGTATGAACCTGGGTGCCTGGTGCATTGCAAAAAGCAAAACAAAAATGAAAACCTAGAGGCAGTTTGATAGGTTAAAAAAGAATACACTAGGTGGGAAAATCCATGTAGACACTTCACTGCACTTCAGAGCACAGAGCAGCTCTGATATTCAGAGCCAAAACCAGGTTTATGGGTGAGGGAAATAAGGAGCAGTCCATCCACTTCCATGGGGCTATTCCACATGGTGACAACTCCTGCAGCCCATCCAACAGGCATCGTGCTCAGCCTGAGCATTCTTACCTCCTCCTGCTTGACAAAGTTTCTTCTTGCTCAATGTGAGTCACCTTCAGGACTTTCTTGTCAACAAAAAGGTCTTCAGGGTAATTAGCTGATCGAATCTGTCTCTGCTGAGCGTGGCCACATAACCTGGTGATCTGGAAAACACAAACACAGCAGTGTGAGGAAGTGCTGGGACCAGAAGCACTTCAGGAAAACAGCCAAGATGCACACTGGCACCTGCACACAAGCTGGTCTGCCATCCCATCTCAGCATAGGTCACACAGCACCTGAAAGCAAACTGCTGCCCTAAGGATAGAACCTGCCTTTTGTTCAAATACCTGCCTTATGGGAAGGAATGCAGGAAGCTTCAGGCAAAATTTTTGGGCATCGATGTGCCCCTGTAGCTGTCAAAGCCTGTGAGCTGCAGGTGTGGCCAGCAAATCTTCTTGTGTCAGATTAAACTCATGCTGGCAGGAGGGGGCTCGAGGTGTTCCTCCCTTACCAAAAGCTGCAACATCTCAAGTCTGTACACTCCACTTCTCTAGTCAGACTTTCAGGAAACACCTCCCCACTGAAGGTGCATCTTGAGGCAGCACAACATCTGCACGGGCTGCACTGCAGGTGTCCAGGGATGAGCATCATACACATCGTTACTAATTAAAAAAACCCAGGGCCTAAAATACAGCAAGTGTTGTGGCCACAGCCCAGTCATACCATGGGAGGTCTTGATTAACAGGGCTCTGTTAGTGGCACAAATTACCTCATTAGCATACAGATGATTCAGGAACCTGCTGCAGCAGTGAGGGAAGGGAATCCAAACCACCTCGTTAAAGCTCTCTTGTATGGCCACTGTCCCGAGACTCATCCAGAAGCACTGCAGCCACTTCTGCAGTCCCTGCCACCCTGCAGTCATTTCCTTCTCTGGAGACCACCGAGAGACAACTGTACTCCCAGAGCACTGCTGCCCTGACCTATCCTGTGCTGTTCTGCAGGACTCATCCATGCTGGGTGGTGAAGAGAGCTCTGCTGACTGCTGGGATCATGGAGGCACCACAACCAACACCAACCTCTCTTTCTCACCCACATCCAGGCCTGGGACCAACCACACACCCACAAAACGCCTGTTCACTGCAGCACCTCATTTATCTCCACACCACACCAAATCAAGGCAGTCTGCTAAACTCCCAGTAAGCAGCACACTGGAGGTTAAAAGCACACCTGCTGCCCAAAGCTACAAGCATCAGATGTGTAAAGAGAAGAGATTAATTCTGTTCTATTACATCCTGCATTTGGGTGGGCAAATAAATTAGTAATGTCACCTCTTTCATTATCAAGAGCAGCACAGTTTGTTTGCTCAGGTTGCCATACAACAAAGAGTAAAATAGAAACCTCCTGGGAGCTGGGCACTACTGTTTCTGCTTCACAGCCCAGTGGGAAGAGAAGCTGCCACTGGTCCTTCTGCAGTTCCCTCTGCCGAAGCAGGTCCTCCTGCAGCTGCCAGGAGAGCAGTTTCTGTAGCATCTTACCTGGTTTTTCCTCCTCTGCCCTCCCTTGGCTGTCTCTCCTCTCTGCCTTGCCAAACCCAAGTCTTGCAGAAGAATGTATCATCAGCCCTACTGCCCTCCCTAAATCATGTGGCAGACTTAGGACCAAGAGGGAGGAAGGGAGTTGGAAAAATTACGGCATATTGGGCTGTTTTCCTTGCCTTTTGGGCTTTCCTTTAGCACTGATTCCCTTCCTAATATTTGCGGGTAGCCCACTGATGTAAGCAGACAGGAATAGGAGGAAATAATGTGACAGCAGGAGACCTGGAAAAGGGCATTTGGGACCTAAGGTCCCACCACTGAGGAATGGGTTTGGACATCTCGTGGTCTCTCTGTGCTGGCTGGTGCCACTGTCCATGCAAGGGGCAGATTAGCAGAAGACTGTGAGGATGCACAGGGATCTGTGGACTTTTCTCCCCTAGAGATCAGAGATGAGACCTGTCATGAAACCACCCCAGGGAAACACAAGCTACACAAAAGCTCCAGGACAGTGGGCTTAGACGAAGCAACATTAAAAAAAATAAAAAATCACCCACACTCTGCGTGAGCATGCAAAGCAGAGGAGAGAAGTGGGAAAAGGTTGGATATTTTAAGCTGCCGTTTGTGATGACTCCCTTTGATTCTCCCCAGCTCTGTGAAAAGCCCCCCTTCTCTTTGCAAAGCCTTGCTTTCAGCTGAAAAAGCCTATTGAACCCTGAGAGAAGAGCAAGTCCAGGATCAAGGCTTTTTCCCAAGGATGCTGAGAGGCTCTGAATGGGAGGGGAGGGTCAAAGCAACAATGCAAACAATGGCACCACCCGAGAGTATGCTTCAAAAGGCACAGCAGCCAGGCAGGCTGGGGCTGCCTCATCTGCCACCCAGCACCAAAGGTACCTCAGCCCCTCTGCTACCAACTCCTGTGCAGGAGCTTTGGCTCAGCCACATCCTCACGGCTCCACACGGCATCTGGGCACTGTGGGCTACTAGAATCAGAGAATCGTTAAGGTTGTAAAAGATCTCTACAATCATTGAGTCCAGTCGTCCATCATCAAGTCAAATCATTGATCACTGAGTCCAACCATCCCTTCTGTGAGAGATGAAACCACTGTGTTAGCTGTGACATGGGACAGCAGAAGAAATCTTCATGGATAGAAAGTGGAAAGTTTGAGCAGTACATCCAAGTTTTTACTTATTTATTCAGGCACTAACTAACCCTTTCAGGAAAAAAAAAAACACAACCCTGCAGCCTATCTTGTGAAGTCACAGTGAAATGGTTGTCACATTTTAGTGAAACAAAAACCTGGCTGAGATTTGAACTTTAAATAAAGTGAGCGAACGTAGAAGTAACAGATTGCCTGCTCATTTGCAGGGGCGGCATCGTGTGTGCTTTTAGGAGGAGGGAAGGATTTCACAAACCATCTGCCAAAGTCTGCTGGCCCACAAGAAGTCCTAGGACAACAGCTCAGAAATCCTACTTCAATCTTTCCCTCTTTTTGAGTCCCCACTGCAAGCTCAGGAACACATGAACAGCTTCCCAGACCCTTCCTAATCATCAGTATTTCAAAGAAGCTTCAAAAAGTCCAGAAAAATGCCACTGTAGGGCAGTCAAAGAAGGGACAACACAAGCTCAGACCTTGGGGAGAAAAAAGTGTGATGCTTGAGCTCTCGAGGTACCCCTTGCTCTGGCAGGAATCATAGAATTTTAGGGATTGGAATGGACCTTAGAGATCATCTAGTCCCAACCCCTGCCATGGGCATGGGAACCTCCCACCACACCAGGTTGCTCAAGGCTTCATCCAGCCTGACCTTGAACACTGCCAGGGTTGGGGCAGCCACAGCCTCCCTGGGCAACCTGTGCTAGTGTCGCACCACCCTCACGGGAAAAAGCTTTTTCCTAATATCTAACCTAAATTTTGTCTCTTTCAATTTGCACCCATTATACCTTGTCCTATCACTGCAGTTCCTAACAAAGTGTCCCTCTACAGCTTCCCTATAGCCCCTTCCAGATATTGGAAGGTTGCGATGAGGTCTCCACACAACCTTATCTTCTCCAGGCTGAACAGCCCCAACTTCCTCAGCCTGTCTTCACAGGGGAGATGCTCCAACCCTCTTATCAATCTCATGGCCTCCTCTGGACTTGCTCCAACAATTCCATGTCCTTCTTATGTTAAGGGCACCAGAACTGCACGCAGTGTTCCAGGTGGGTCTCATGAGAGCAGAGTAGAGGGGGAGAATCACCTCCTTTGACCTCCTGCCCACACTCCTTGGGATGCAGCCCAGGATTCAATTGGCTTTCTGGGCTATGAGCACACACTGCAGCTCATGGAGCAAGGAAAGTCATCTCCCTAGCACAGTGGTGTGCCTGCAAGAGGGAAGGCGAAAGGAAGGAGGCAAATCTAATCACATATGCCAAACTCGTATCAAGCGACAGTGGTTAATATGTGGTTTCCTGCCATCACACAACTATAAATGTGAAATTCAACAAATGGACAGAACGGAACTGCCGGCTCTTCTCCTCAGGCTCTGCACAATACCAGGGGGATCGTAAATACACACCAGCCCTTACCTAAAGTACAGCAGTGCGAGAGTCATGTGGTCGCTTATTTCATGTCACAGAACAGACTGAAGTTTGACACATCAGGCCACAAAAAAAATGAGTAAGTAAATCAAATGACAGTGTGCTCTTTAGGCAACAGGAGTTGGACTTTTCATTTGCTTTTAAGAGAATCTTCCAGTCCACCAAAAAACAGCTGCAAGGGGACACCAGGCAAGCAAAACCCTCCCCAAAGCCCTGAGCTTTTACAATCCCCCAAAGCCATGGATACTCTAACAGCCAAAGCAAAATTTCCTTGCCCCAGCTCATTAACAAACTCACTAATTACCTGATTTAATTAGCCTCCTCCATGTGAGTGTGGCCGAGGCCATGAGGGGAATACTTCACCTTCTGACAACCATTACCCACCTCCCCATTCCTTTATTCCAGCCACAGGGAGACACAGGCATAGCCCCTCAGGGACTGTCAGCAGCCAATGGTGCCCATGCCCGAGGGGGAAGCAGCTGGTTCCCAACACCCTTGGGAGTTGTGTGCCATGTAATGGCTCCACTTTGGAGGGAACGTTGATTTGAGAGGAGCACAGGGACAAAGCTAATGGAGTAGCACTAGCAGCCCACTTTAATGCTTCCACATTAATTTAAGATAAGAGGTGCCGGAGGACTGCAGGGAAGCTGCAGCTGCATGGGAACGATGCACTGTGAGCAGCCACGGACCAGACCCAGCACCATAGCTGCATCTAGCTGGGCTGACCACGTGAGCGTAAAGCACAACACTGGTCCATGTGGGTACCTGCAAGCCCATAAAAACCAGGTGACTGAAACAGAGCTAAATTATATTGAAGAAATAGTGACCACAGTACCAAGTTCTGTGAAAGTATTACAACCTCAGTGCAGCTGATGGAAGGTAAAACTCCCACAGGCACCTCCAGCCTGGCTAGGTCAGGATAGCACGGCTGACAGCACCGAGGCCCCCGACGGAACCCACTGTCCTACCCAGGCACAAGGCTGCATGGGGGAAAAACGTCTTGCCTTGCACATCAGCAAGCAAATCTGGGGGGGATGAATTGGAAAGCAGCACA